TCTGTGAGGCTGACACATTGTCCAGGTTTAAGGCTTAAGTCTTTCCTTTTTGATAAATCCTATAGTTAGGGTTGTCTGGGGGTTTCTGAGCTATCCCTTAGTTATGCTGCTATAGGCTTTGACTGCTGCAGGACAAACGGATCACATTTCCTTACTATGCTGCTGTTTTCAATTGCTCTACTCTACCGGTTTGTATTTCATGGCAAAAAACAACACGGACATGTTCCTGTTTTTAGTTTTCTACATCGCTTTACAACCCAGCTGTTTTAGTTTTTTTTTTTTTTTTTTTTTAAATACCATTTTATTTTATTTGTTCTCATTTTGTATGCTTTCTTTTATGATTGTCTATCGTTGTCTTTGTCGTCCACTGTTGCCATCACTCTTTGTCAAAATCAGGTCTCTCTTGTAAAATGGGCCCAAGAGGCTCAATGGGATTAACATGTATAAATAAAAGTTGAATGAATTTGTAATTATTTATATCTTAACGTGTTTTTTTTTTTTTTTTTTTGTCTTTCTTCTATAGAACATACACCTGGACCTGTCATTCTGTGTTCATTCGTTTCTCCTTCCTGTCCTCTCAAACCCCAGCTGGTTGAAGCAGGTGGCTGCTCATCCTGAGCCTGGTTCTGATGGAGGTTTTTCCTGTTAAAGGGAGTTTTTTCTTTCCACTGTCGCCTTTGTGCTTGCTCAGGATGGGAGACTGCGACAAAGTGAAGATTCATCACAACCTGCTGGCTACGCTTTTATAACATATGTGAATGTTTCTGTTCAATGCCCCGAGACGACTTCTGTTGTGATTCGGTGTTATATAAATAAAGTGAATTGAATTCTCAGATGCTATATATAAATTTGATCTCAATATCTGCACAACCGAACAAGTTTTCAACAGGTTTCTCACGGTCAGCTAACTGTGCCGGTCATTTTGAATCGACTCCAGAAGTTATTCAGCTGTAGATGATGACTTTCTGGGAGGTGTATCTTCATTGTTTTTAAGGCTTAGTACAAACTTTTGGTCAAAAATCTCATATTGTTATGAAAAAATAAAGTCTTTACACTTGGGCTTACTTTCATTTTTGCATTTCCGTATCAGATTTGCTTGTGCACCATTTGTAATCTTGCACCTTCCATGTCTGTTGGTTTTGGCCTCTCGTGGTTCGTTTTTGTCTCTTTCTGGGATGAGACCCAGGCTTCTCCAATTCCTGGCAGCGCAAAACAATCCTGATGGATTCGAACAGATGGCTAAATTACTGGTACACAGACCAAAAACAACCTATTTCTGCAACGGAAAACAAAATCAGTCCATTAAGACCGAAGGCTAGAAACTGTGTCCACTTTGGTCTGGCTCATAAAAGTCATTTTTGGTAAACTTGACAAAGTTTTCTGGCCTTCATGCAACTGCTGAAAACTGCAGCTTTATTGGGAAATATTCCAAACAATTGTGTACGCTATAAAGAACATCCAAACCTCTATTACAACAGTTTACAGCCTGAAACTGAAGCTTTAAGATTAAATTTACTGCATATTAATAAACTGCAGAACTGAACTAAAGCTATAGTCCTTTTATGAAGACATATTGTCCCGTCTCACAAGCCGACATGATTTTTGGAGGTTTTAATGAACCATTTGTCATGAGATTTATTCAAACGTAAAACAGAACCAAGGTTCCCTCGGGGTGCTCGACTTCAGGGTCATTTAATATGCAGCTGATTTTCAAAGTCCCACGAGATGTTTGGCTCCACCTTTCCCTCTCTTTGGGTGGTGCGTCCTCAGATGAACGTACAAACACAAATGATTCAATCCAACTCTTGTGGAGGGGGCTCCGTGTTCAGTCTGATGGTACATTGAAATGAACAAGTACATTCAGTTCCAAATAGAACATAGAAATGTACATCCCCTAGCGAGAAAAAGCAAACACAAAAAAACATTTCTGATTTTTCTTTTTCTGATTTTAAAAAACAAAATCTGTTGCTCTATGTGACTTGCGTACTTTCCAGGTACATACCGGTTATTTATTAGGTACGTATTGGGTATTGTGCAAGTACAGTACTCTGTAATTATCAAGTTTGTACTTGGTGGCACAGTGCTGCTGAGGATTCAAAATCTTTCTTCTAACCTACAAAACCCTCAACAACCTAGGTCCATCTTGTGTTACAGATCTTATTGGTCCTTACTTTCCTAACACAGCACTTCGCTCTCAGACTGCAGGCTTACTTGTGGTTCCTAGAGTATCCAAACGCAGAATAGGAGGCAGAGGTTCCAGTTATCAAGCTCCTTCAGCAAGAAGGTTGCCGGCTCAAATCCCAGCTAACCCAAAAAGGAAAAAAGCGAGTAAAGATGATGGATGGATGACTAGACAGACAGACCTGGTACTTACAGGGTATGTACATGGACCAGGCTGTATTATGAACTGATTGGTAGTTATTGGGTGCATACTGGGTACGTACTGGGTTTGTTCCTAATTATGAGAAAAGGCAGATTTAATGTCAACATGGAGGAAGTGATGATGCTAAAGTGATGTAATATTTTCCCACTCCCAAGATGGAAAAGTGAGGCGCATTTTCCTACAAATTTAAACCACTTGCCAATGTTTTTTTGTTTTTTTTAAACGTACACAAAGCCTGCGATTGAATTACAGTTGAGTTGTGTAGTAATAACTCCAGATAGCTAAACTTATTTACTTTCATTTATTCAATAAAATCATTTAAATCTAGTCTGTAAACCGTTCAGGCTTATTTTCCAGTCGGATGCGGCCTGATGGAAGCAGCGGAGCACTTTTCACCACAGAAGCTGCACGTCCAGCTCATTTCTGCCACATTCAGCCCAGTGTTGCTCCAACTAATCGGTCTCTTATTAGCAGCTTCTTTGTTCGCCTGCATGCGAGCCTCTCAGCGGGGTGCTGTGGCACCTGAGCCATGCAGGAGATTAATGCTGGCAGGACAGAGCTGATGCACGATAAACAAAGTGGGCGCCCATTAGATGCTGGAGGAAGCGGACGACCGCCTCGTACCATCTGCTGGGGAAACAACTTTTCTGCTGCAGGTTTGTTGGTTATCAATAAGATATGAGGAGGGAGTGAGTGAGGAGTCGAGGATGATTTTCCAATAATAATAATAATAATAATAATAATAATAATAATAGGGAGAACCCAAGTAATACTCATAAATTTTCAAAATTTGTCTTAATAGAAGCAATTATTGTAAAATAAACTATATATTTTTAATAGGCTTTGTTATGTGCTCACCAATCATTAATTTTAGGCCCAAAAGGCTGTTCAGACTAAAAAGAGGAAGTTTTAAAGCATGAACATTGAACAGACAGCTCCCTCTGGTGGTCACCATGAACATAACACATTTCTGTGAAATTCTAAAATTAGTACCATGGTGCTTCATTCATTGCAGCTTTAAAAATTATTATTATTGCTGGTCTTTGCTCCATTTTTATGCCAATATTGAAATTTTCCACTAACCAGAATAATAAAATTGAGCAGTTTTCACTTTTGTGCAGATTTGACAAACTGCTTAGTTACAGCACAATGTCCTGAACCCAAATACTGTAAAACATTTTAAATCAAGCTTATATTAACATAGTAATCATCATATTACAATGTAATCAATGCAGTTTCTGCAGAATCACTCATTTCAGCTACGATGGCGTCATTTTTCAGCTCACAGTTTTCCATTTTTACACTACACAGTGACTCCTAATCCTAAGCTGCAGCATCTTAAATAAATCTTATGAATTCTTAAGACACAATGCATCACTTACATAAAGTTTATTTTAAAAATAATGGCTGCAAATGATTTCACTTCGGAAGCTGAAACATTTGCAGTAATGGTCCGCAGACATGTCTCAAAGAAGTACAAGTACACAGCCACAACAGAAGACTAACAGAAACAATCATTTTAATGGTGTCCCAGTTATTGACACCTGTACAAACATTTTAATTTTACTGTATTAATAAAATCTCTGACGGGAATTGAACACGCCCACAAAAAAGCAATTATTATATATTTTTTTTATTTCAAAAAGAATACTGAGCATTCCATCTCATTTCCAGACTTGTCTCTACATATAATACAGATCATATTTATTACAAATAATAATGCATGTTGCCATAAATGAATCCATGATTGCAACAACTTTCCTGTTTCAGACACTACAGTTTCATAAGTGGCACATGATCAATACAAAGAAAGAAAATGTTTAATAAAAGGCAGCAGTTTCTTTCACACTCTCTCAAACGCATACACACACACACACACACACTTATAATGCTTCTGAAGTTGTGCATCAACTCAAACATACCCACAAAGATTCAAAAAGAAAAACATTTATAACAAGACAACAGGTATAATTTGGTCCTAAACAACCAGAGGGCAGCCATCACTGACACAGAACCAGGAAATATCCAGTACCAGCTTGATTGGTTCTTGTAAAAAACATCATTTGTACGGCTAATACGTTTTAGTTTTAATGCTATTTTTTTCTTCAGATTTGAAATATCAGCAAAATAAAATATAGAAAAGATTTAAAAAAAAAAAACAACTATAAAACCTCTGTCTGAGATTTTAAAATAAACAAATTATAAATGCATTTAACTGTAATTGGATTTTCACCTTTTGTCTTAAAATCCTTTAAAGTTTGATTATTTCTCTTCGTTACAGAGTCAAAAAAGTTAAAATAATAATTAAAAAAAGCTACAAAGAAAAATAATCCCTCGCTAAGTTTGAATAATCACAATCACAGGAATCGACATGATGACGTAAACATAAACACACAACAGTATATTACATATTTATAACGTAAAGTTAAAAGATTAATTGCACGTATCGGCTAAAATATTTAAAGTGAGTAACAAAAAATGGCACGTGTATAAACATTTAAACAAAATTGTACAATTGCATTCCTTGATTTTATTTTTTTACAAAATGGAATAAAAAATAAAAAAAAAGCTTAAAAAAATAACAAAAAGGAAGAAGAAGAACAACCAAGCTGTGTGTAATATGACGGTTCTTCTTTTTAAAACAAACCCTTGCTCTTCTTCAGATTCTGCTGCTTCCAGTTGGGCAGGGCGTTGAATTCAACTCGACTCATCTCAAAAAGCGTCTGTAAAATGAAACAAGACAAAGTTTTTAGGTGTTGCAACTGGAGACCAAGTGCTGCGTTTGGACACAAATCACATCCAGGGCGTGGCACCTTGAAGTCCTCATCAGACAGGTAGTCCTCCAGGCGTAGAGGGTCCACCCCCTCCGGCAGAGGCTTCCTGGTCAGCTCCTCGATGGAGTACTGCTGCTTACTGAGTTTGGACAGGGCGTCTTTCACCAGGACCACCTTGTTTTTGGAGCTGGCAGCCTGCGAACACATTTAATGAGCAGTCAACAAAAACCTCCATTTGAAGCTCCTACTGGGAGAACTTTCCATTGCATATGAAACAAAACAAACATAAAAGAAAAAAAGCAAAGGCCACCTTTGAAGGGACACTGGTGTCCTTCTGCCAGTACGGGAAGATGTTTGTGAAGGTGAGGGGCTCGAAGCCTGCGAGGACCAGATAGGCCAGAGGGGGGCGCCGAGGATTCTTCTCTAAACAAACAATGGATGAAAATGGATTATAGAGAAACCAAGTAAACCTTTGATGTATGTGAAACAGTTTCAGGTATTATTTTAGGCCCACACACATAAATACTGCATGAACTGAAGCCACATTCTGAAAACTAAAATCTGCATCAATATGAGCTGCTTTCGTTGGTTTGCAACATAAAATGCTAAATGGCAGCTATGAAAATAAACATTCAGCTCACACAGCCTGCAGATCAAAATGCGCCTCTGTGACCTCTGACCTTTGCAGTACTGCAGCACGGTCTCCATGGCGCACTTCCTCTCGTTGTCCCAGCGTATCTTTGCAGATCCGGTGCTCTGCGCGTCTTCAGGCTGCCAGCCCTGCCACAGATACACCTCCATGCGGTTGTCCAGCAGGAACAAGGCTGAAGAAGAAACCGCATGAAAAAATGCACAAACTTCCATCCAGGAGAAACACGTTCATGTTCTCGATTGATGCAAACACTGAAAAGATTGCAGTTATCTCTAGTTTGTAGAAATGTACTGTGATTGCCACTACTTTGTTTCTCACACCTCACACGCAGGAGGGGCTAATTTGTGTGTTTTTTAAATTAATTAATTTATTTTTAAAGAATTTTCCATTAAAAAAATAAAAAAAATAAAACATTATGTAATATATATAAATAAATAAATAAAAGAGCTGGGCACAGATTCTGATAAGGAAATGTAGACACCCACGGTTTAAAAACTGTGTAAAATTTATGCACAAAATTATGATTCATCTTAAATTTAGTACGTGCGTCTTGGAGTCAGGTGCGTTCTGTAGCACGGCAGTTACGGTTCATACTTTGTGTTTGAGTGCTACCTGGCTGCTGAGCGGAGTAGAGGCTCTCCTGCAGGAACGGCATCGCCATCACTTCCTCCGTCACCCTGGCAGAGAACAGCTGCTCCTCCCATCCAAAAATGCCAGAGCTGGCACTCAGCCGGAACAGTCGGGGCGTGTAGTTGTACTTCCCTGGATCTAGAAACCCAACACATTCTCATCACCGCTTTCTTTCAGCCAACTTGCTCTGCGGCCAACCTTCGCAGACCGTACCTTGCAGCATACAATCATAAGCCTTCTTGTCCAGCGGCCCTAACGCCTGTTCGAACTCTGCAGGTTCTGACCCTTCCTCCACCACCTCAGTTTTCAACTTGCTAGTGCTTTTCAGTCCCAACTCTGAAGGGCACCTTAAAAACACACGGGAGAAGCATCAGTCGTCTGCAGAATCATCCATGTACAGCTGCTTCCACATGCCTTACCTCCGTGTTAGTTTATCCACTGCTCTTTTAGCCACCAGCCTGGCACCTGCTTGTGCTTTACATCCGTGCCACAGGTAGAGACGGCCTTTCTGAGGGTTCAGCAGCACCAAACTGGCACGAGAACGCAGACTGGCCCGCTGGCACACCACCTCCAGCAGCGAGGCCTCCACCTCGACTTCACCGCGAGCACAGAACAACCTCCAGCTGCCTAAAAATCACAAGTAATCTGCTGAATCTGAGCAGTGGTGCATACCTTGACTTTTGTTCTCAACACAGCCTCTGTACCTGTGTTGTTGGAAGTGTCCTCTCTGCTGCCCTTATGGATGACCAAGCCTCCCTGAAAGAGCTGCAGGAAACACGGGGGCTCTTTTCCTTGACTCACCAACATCTGCAAACACCAGAATCAAAAACATACTTGGATACATACCAACTGAAAACAAGTGGGTGTATTTTTAACGGTTTGTTTCTGTTCAAGCAACATTGAAAGCGTTAAACTGGACTCACTTGTGAGCCCCGGTGGCTGCCGAGCTCCACGGTCATCAGAGCCGAGGTTCCTTTCTCGCTGGCGCTGGACTGATGGCCCTGCCAGAAGAAACAAGCCGTCCTCTCTCGTCCAGGAGCTCCAGCGCTCAGCTCTCCGGGTTTCTGCCGCTTCCCAACTGACAACAGAGAGAAAAACAACCAAGTAAACCAGGGGATGGGATTATTGTGCGATTGTTTATGAAGCATTCACACTATTGTCATCCGTTTCTCTTCCTACGTTTTAGTGTTTTTCTCATTCCACAATTGTTGTGCCATTTCAACACATCATATCAAAACGTTCACTTATTCCAGGATAATACTGCTATGAATTTTTGTATTGGTTCAACTTTAGCTTTTTGAAATATTTAGCCTTTTCTGCTAGTTTTTTTTCCCCTGATAGAAAATTAATTGAGCTAATTTTCCATCCTTCATATCTTTAGATCTGTTCACAACCTTTTACTGCTCCTGTCACATTTTGTTCTGGTTCAATTTCTTCCAGCGTCCTTGTGCAAATTTAAACGTTTTCAGCTACTTTCAGTTGATTTCAGCTGCTTTTTCAGCTGTGTTGTACTAGTTTCAGATTATTTCTGATAATTCCAGTTTGTTATGCTGCTTTCAGATTATTTCTGAAAGTTTAAACTTTTTCTACCATTTCTGCTACTATATAAATGTTTTTATGCTAATTTAAGTTTTTCAGCCAATTCCACATCTTTTGCACTCATTTAAACTTTTTTCAACCTAATTCAGCAAAACTTTGCTCTATCAACTTTCTTTGGCCAATTTAAGCTTCTTTCTGCTTTTTAGCTGCTTTTCAGCTGTATTTTTTTTTTTTTTTTGCCAAGTTGTCCCTCCCCAGATAATTCCCACTTTTTTCTGCTCATTTCTGATTCTTTCAGCCTAAATGGGCAAACATCTTTCTGCTTTCTTCTGCTAATTTAAACTTGTTCTACCTTTGAAGTTAGCTTGTTAGCATTTTTTAAGCTAATTTCAGCTGTTTTCATATAAATTCAAGTTTTTTGTGGTAAATTCTGCTACTTTCAGCTTAACTTCGTTCTGCTTATTGTGCTCCATTCAGCTTATTTTTGCTAGTTTCATCTTTTTTTGCTATTTAGCCATTTTATGCTATGCTGTTTTATGCATTTTGTTTTTTCAGCTAAATCCAAATGTTTTGAGCTCATTTTAGCTCTTTCCATTTCCGTCTGGTAGTTTAAGCTTCTTTCTGTGTTTTCAGGTACATTTCAGCTATCCCCCCCCCCCCCTTCAGCTTATTTTTAGCTAATTTCCAAATTTTTGTGCTAATTTCTGCTTATTTAAACTAAATTCAGCAAATATGTCCTTTCTACTTTCTTCTGCTAATTTAGGCTTGCTCTTCCATTTCAGCTACAATTCAGAATGTTTCTTTTAGCTCATTTCAGCTGTTTTTCAGCAAGTTTTTCTGCAATAAGCATTTACACGGCACTTTTGTAGGAAATTCATTTCTCTAGTTTACATTTGACTTGCTTCCTGATGACTCACCAAGCGTAGTGATGGAGTATTTCCAGCGGATGATGTAGGCGTCGCCCTCGTGCAGCTGGCCGAGGCTTTCCTCAGGCAGTTCCTCTTCTCCATGCTCTTTAATGTGCCAGGCTTCCACAGCTACCGTGGACATTTCTGCCTGCCTGCCGTCCTCAGTCCTCACGAAGCCGTAACCCCGCTGGACATCCACCCCCTCCAGGACAGTCTTCACTGGGTTTGGTTCGTTGTCCAACAGAGCTTTGGCATCACACGGCTGCAGGTCCAAGTCAAAAGGGGAGCGTGGGGTGGAGCAGTCTGGGCTCTGAATAAACAGACATCTTTTGGTATTTCACAGCAATGACAGAAAGTTTTATGACAATTTGAAGTTTCTTCCTTTGGTTTCAGTACAGACTCTTTTTAAAAACTGTTCTTTTTTTTCCCCTCCTGACAATAAATATCTAAATTATGTAACTTCTTGTTAAACCACCTCTGGTAGAAATACCAGTCTATAAGAAGTTATTCTCATCATTTTGGAAGAAATCTTCAAACTCAGACATCAGTGCACATCCATGTTCTGATGGTTCTGCAGATGATGTCCAAGGTTTAGGTCCTAAATTATCTTTTGTTAAAGATTTAAAAACACAAGAGCGTGGGTTTAATTATTTATTATTTACAGTATTTCTGTTCTTGTACCATCGTTGGCACTACATGTGATCTATAGTCCTTTACAGTTCATTATATAGCACCTAGATTCCGTTAGTAATCAGCACATGTGTTGACTGTTACCATGTCATCTAGTACTTCGTTCCCATCCTGAGTTTCTTGCCCACATGCTGGTTCTCACATCTCATCTAACAAGAGTACGATTGGTCATTTCACTACTTCCTCGTAGATTTTTCTAAATCAACGTCTTTGTTTCCTGTTGTTTTGAGTCTTCTTGTTAAAATGTGAACTGTTACTTTAGTCGACAGACTCCAGGAAGACATTTCCTCCAGGATTACTCTGTATTTTTCTGTACTCTTGATTTTCCAACCTAAATGACTGCCAGTCTTTTCATGGAAAACATCCCCTCAGTATGATGCTGACAGTGTTAACCTTCATGTTGGTGCCTTTAGTTGTTCCCCATCACAGAGCAATAAGAGGAATTGGAAATACTCTTCGTTCGTCTGTCTATCCATCCATTTGTAAAGGTTGCGAGTATGATAACTTGAAAAATAAGTGAGGTACCAACTTCAGTTTTGGTGTGTAGCTACATCTAGGTGAAAGGTCACTATTGAAAATTGGGTTGCCAGGTCAATATCCAAGATTGCCACCACCATATATGCCACCACCATATAAGTGTATATGTTGTAGCATGAAGCTGCACTGCTATAACCATGACCCCTGACCCTTAGTAATCTTCCAGACTCACCATGAATCACATCCTTCTTATTGCTACAATGAAAACCTTTTGAGTTGGATAACTTAAAAAAATAAGTGATGCCCAGACTTCTATTTTAGTGTGTGGCTACAACTAGGTGTAAGAAAGGTTCCATTCAAAAACTGTATCGCCACGTCGAAAGGTCGTCCATAAAAACACTCGCCTCAAAAACTACAAGCATCCTCTTTTCAAATCCCCTCACTGATGAGGGACATTAGCGTACGGCTCGTTAGTAATGGTTTCTTTCTGGACACTGTATCATTGAGGCCTGTTAACATTATAACATTTCCAGCTACCACCGACCCACAGTTTACCTGTTTCATCGTCATCCTCAGCTGCTGAGCTCAACTGAGCAGTCGGTTAAATTCATTCATCTCCTTGAGAAGGACAGAGGCTGCGGTCATTCAGGGAACTGAAAAAACTCAATGTTTTGACTCGAGCCTCTCTGACATACGTGTAGAAAATGTCCTGAACTCGTAGACTGTGTCATACTCTGACTCACAGGAATAAAAACAAGAACTGGCAGAAGTTAAATACACCCCAAATGAAACGGGAGTGCTTCTGAATTCTTCGGTGAATTGAGTATTTCAAACTTTTAGAGCGGATGGGGGAAAATAATCTAATAATATACAAGTCTGAATGAATGGAATGTGAACAAGTTAAAAAGGTGGCGTGTCTGAAGAGAAAACACACCAAGCCTAATGTCATCTACCTTGATTTCCTCTATTTGAGCAGTTTCCTCTTTCTTCCTCTCGGCCCAGTCCAGGAACTTTTCTCTGAACAAGGACGTCTCATTGTGCTCGGACAGTCGGCCAAACAAAGTCCAGCTGGGGCGTCCCTCCCCCTGTCTGCATGCAACACACACATACACATTTACACACCCAAAACACTTCATCTGTGCTGCCACACTAAAACCACTAGGAGCCGCAATAACACACACAAAGAATCAAAACAAGGATTTCAAGCTAATCTATTCCAAGTTTAAAATGTAAAACAGAACAGCAGACAATTCACAACATCTGCATTTTCTTTAAAGTGTCAGCTGCTTTGGTGCGAGTAGAATGTCACACTCACTGCGGCACTTCTGTGTTTGTGCAGGAGGCGTCTAAAGGGTTGATCCTGCAGCTGCTGTAGTCGTAGCTGCCACTGTAGAGCTGTTTTCCTAGTTTGACAGCAACTTTTCTGTCTCCCAAGGGCACGTCTTTCCCGTGCCATACGTACACTTCGCTGCCAAAGTCAAACACTAAAACCTAATTTGTGGCAGGAGAAAGAAGAAATCTAGACTTACTGTAGCTGTAACATGATAATCGGGGGAGGGGGGATGCTTGATGTATATTTGATGTTACCTCTTTAGAATTAAGCAAAGACACGCTGGGGATGGAGGCCCAGGCATCTTCATGGGGTACCAGCTTGTCCCCCTCAAGTCTGAACACCCCATTAGAGTCCAGGACCCCACTCTCATACAGCTCATCCTCCTCTGGCTCGCCCGCCCCTGTAACACACACGCACAGCAAATTTATTAACCAAGATCAAAGCACTGGAGGAGTTTTACTGTCAAGTCCAGAAGGTCTGCATCTGAACGGTTTCTGCTCATCTTATATGAAAAGAGTTCAATGTGCACCTCTGTATTTGGCCTTTCCTCCGAGCAGGCTCCAGAACTCTTTGGCCCATCTGCTCTCGGCGTTGATGCCCTCCTCCAGCACGGTCACCTGAAGAGCCTTACAGCCAAGGTCTCTCTTGGCCTGAACGAACGATGCCATCTCCGACGCCTGGTCACATAAAACATAATAAACACGTTTCCACCTGCATGCAGGAGCAAGATTTATCAACAGACACCGAAATAAAACAAAGAGGATCTTTCTGAGACGCCCGAGCAAGACGTAGCTAGTCAAATCTTGGACTCAATCAGCACCAGACAGTCTGCTGAGATTGGGAGGAATGTCAGATTGCGCAATGAAGACATGATTACCTACAGCGATTCAGAGAAAACAAATACGACCAACGCAGAGCCACATCTTGTGTAAAAATGGTTTCCATCAACTTTTTTTGGTCTTAAATTTCTGACATTACCTAAAGTTAACAGCCAATTGTTTTTGATCCTTAAAGCTCAATCTGCACACATCCTCCTGAAGTCTGTAAAATTATGTTAAAATACACTAAACCTCATGATAGCGGTGAGATCTTACGTTGGTCGGCATAGTCTGACTAAATCTGCTTCAAAAAGCTGTTTTCCTGTTCACAGCTGAAGCCTATTAAAAACTAGAGAAATTCCATTTCCTGCGAAAATGCAGTGTGAATGCGTATTGCAGAAGAACTTGCTGAAAAACAGCTGAAATGTAGCTAAAATAGAAGAACAAGCCTAAATTAGCAAATGAAAGCAGAAAGAACATATTTGCTGAATTGGGTTTAAATAAGAAGAAATGAGCATACAATTTTGGAAATTAGCTGAATAAGCTGAAATTAGCAAAACATAGCTGAGACGTAGCTGAAAAGGCAGAAAGAAGCTTAAATTACCAGAAGTAAGTGGAAAGAGCTAAAATGAACTCAAAACATTTGGATTTAGCTGAAAAAGCAAAAATGAGCATAAAATAGCTAAATAGTAGCTGCAATAGCAGAAAAAAATGAAACTAGAAGAAATATGCTGAAGGGAGCATAACAAGCTGAAAGTAGCAGAAATTACCACTAAAAATTTGAATTTATCTAATAACAGCTGAAACTAGCTAAACAAATGCCAACAAGGTAGCTGAACAGGTAGAACAAGCTTAAATTAGCAGAAGAAAGCAGAAAAAACACGTTTGTGTTCATTTCTGCTTCTTTCAGCATAATTGGGCAAACAAGTGTAAATTATCTGGGGGGGAAAAATTGAACTTGGCAAAAAAACAAAAACAAAAACAAAAAAACAGCTGAAAAGAAGCTAAAAAAAGCAGAAAGAAGCTTAAATTACCAGAAGGAGGTAGAGAGCACATTTTTGCTGAATTAGGCTGAAAAAGTTTAAATATGCATAAAAAACAGCTATATAGTAGCTGAAATTGTAGAAAAATCTGAAACTTGCAAAAATAAGCTGAAAGGAGCATAAGCTGAAATTAGCAGACAGAAGTAGAAGAAGCCCCAAAATATTGTAGTTAGCAGAAAGAATCTGGAATGAGCACAAAACAGCAGAAAAAAAATTATGCTGAAATGAGGTGAAAAAAAGTTACAATTTGCACAAGGAAGCTGAAAGAAGCTGAAGCAGAACAAACTGAAGGGAGCAGTAAAAGGTTGTAAACAGAACCAAAGATATGAAGGATGTAAAAATGAGCTCAATTCATTTTCTATGAGAAAAAAAGTGGAGGCGGCTAAATATTTGAAAAAAGCTATAGTTGAACCAATACCAAAAGTCATAGCATTTTTGTCCTGAAAGAGCTGAACGTTTTGATTTATGATTTGTTGAAATGGCTTGAAAACTGCGGGATGAGAATCACGCCAAAAACGCATGGAAGTAAAATGGATCACAATAGTGTGAATGCTTCATAAATATTCACACAATTAACTCTATTTAGACTGCAAACAGCTAAAAAAAGGACCTTTGTCTTCAAAATCCTGAAGTTTTATATGCCAATATTGATTAATAGAATAAAAAACAGGGAACTGGCACAGTAGCATCAAAATCTAGACAAAGAACACAAAATAACAGAATAAATCCCATCCTGCATGATGCAACGTATTCAGCAAATAAGAGGTTGAGTAATAAACGTTGCTTAAGAACCCAACGGGTTTTTACACAGCAGCAGCATTTGTTTTTGTCAGGATGATTCCTTGTAATAAACTAGGACCTGTCTAAACACGCCGTGTTCTGAAAAATTCCCCTGAACAATGACAAAGTGCAAGACTCATTTCCGTTAGTAAACGTTACTACCTTTGCTTTTTCTATGACGTTGGCAAACTCTCCGCTCCACATGAAGCAGTGCTTCGGCGTCAAGAGGAGAAAACAGTCGCCGCTGTTCAGGGAGCGAGCAGTCGGCTCCACCAAGCGCACCTGGACGTGTCTACGACCTGCACACAGCAACAGCTTTTATCCCAGTGATAATAATCACAAATATAAATCTTATAAGACAAGATTCGAAACGCACTTTGATGCTTTTGTTTTTTTATATCCATCAGACCCAGAAACCTTTGTGTTTTCTGACCTTTAATGCGAATCAGCATGAGTTTATTAAAAGGCAGCGCACTGTTGTTGGTCACAACATCTGTGGACTTCACACTGCGCAGGTTGACCTTGCGAAAGTTCTCCTTGCTGGCGAGTCCTGCCAAGGCCACGTCAGCCAAGTTGGAATGTTTGGCCACTTAACAGGGAAGAACAGAGGAAAACAAAAAAATCCATCTTTATCTCCAATATCTTTAACTGAGGCTCAGTTTAACCGACAGGCACAGACTTCACCTATATCTGGACATTAATCTGACACGTTAGGAGTAAAAGAAGTCTATGTTATTTATAGAGAATATTTAGAACAGAAGCTTAACACCGACAACAATGAGAGTAAAATTAATGTAGAAAATAACACTAATGATGGTACTGAAAATTTAATTACAATCGTTAAACCATAAGAGCACAGAAAAAAACAAACAAAAAAACAAATAAATACTAAATACACTTGCAGTGTGTAAATGCCAGAAAAAACAGATGTGTTTTATCAGCGATTTGGGAAGGGGGGTGGCCTGCCTAATGTCGGGGGGCAGGTTGTTCCAGAGTTTGGGGCCCAATGACTGAAAAAGCCCGATGGCCTCTGAGCTCCAAACGTGTTTTTGGAACAGCTAAAAGCAGATGATCAGATGATCTCAGGACCCGAGAGGGAACATACGGTTCCATTACCTCAGAGATAAGGGGGTGCAAGGCCATTTAGGCACTTACAGGTCAACAGAATAATTTTAAAATCAATTCTAGGAGGCACAGGGAGCCTGTGAAGGGAGGACAGAACTGGTGTAATATGCTCAAACCTACGAGTTCCGGTCAAGAGCCGAGAAGCAACATTCTGGACAAGTGAGATGGAGGTCGGGCTCACCCCAGCATAAAGTGCATTACAGTAGTCCAATCGGGTCATGATAAAGGCATGGACTGGTTTCTCGAGGTCGGATCTGGACAGCACTGGCTTGAGCTTAGCTACCCGTCTTAATTGGAAGAAGCTTTTCTGCAGAACAGAGTTGATTTTTATGTCAAAATGAAGTCGGAGTCTAAAACCAGGTCTTTCAAATGAGTCCTCGTGGTTCAATGGGACTAACCTGTTTAAATAAAGGTTGAATAATAAAATTTTTTTTTTAAATCCCTAGATTTTTACCAGACTGCTTAAGATATGGTTGAAGAAAGTCCAGATTTACAGGATCAGAGGTGGCGGTTGAGCTAGGGCTAAACACACTGACTTCAGTCTTCTAATTATTAAAAATTGCCATCCATGTCTTCATGTTGTTTCAACAGAGGGTGAATGGAGCGAGCACTAGCTGGTTTCAAAGGCAGGTAAATCTGACAACCATCAGTATAATGATGGAATGAAAGACCACGTTTCCTCAGGATAGATCCCAGTGGGAGCAAATAGAGTGAGAACAGAAGGGGTCCAAGAATCGAGCCCTGTGGGACCCCGCAGGAAATAGGCACTGAGACAGATAATCAAGAAATGATCACTTCTTGCTTATGTCTTTCATTTGTGCTCTACTAGACAACAGTGTCTATTGTCTGGAGGGGGGAAACATTAAACTTACTCCTCTCCACTTGGATCCTCTTGGTCTCCACTGAGGCCACATTGAGCCTCTGTTCGGTGTAACCTTGACGGATGTCATTTCGAGCAGCAAGAGCCCGCAGAGGGTTCCGGGAGCCCTGGTTCCTTCTGGCTGGTCGCACCGCTCGCTTGTGCTCTGCTACAGCAGAGGTAAGCCTGAAGAGAACAATAAACACCACAGTGATGTTTATTTATTATTACGTTTGAAGAAAATGCAGAAGACAGTTCTCCAATGTTTACAAAAAGCACAAACTCGGAAAAAAATATAAACTTAATTAGACAATTACTAATATATAACTATTAGAACAATTTTATTCAATTTAATTAATACACATTTTAAAAAAGACTGAAAGACCATGTCTTTCATTTTTTATTCTTTCGACTGCTCCCTTCTTCAGGGGTCGCCACAGCGAACTAAGTCGCACGAAGACTTGGCAGTTATTTTTACGCCGGATGCCCATCCTGACGCAACCACAGACCACCGAGCTACCACAGCCCTCTGTGTGGAGCAGAGAGCTGCTATCTAGGACACCCGGAGGAGCAGATGGTGGGGGTTAAGGGCCTTGCTCAATGGCCCAGAGTGGGACGAATGAGGGCGGGGGCAGGCGCGGGCGCCCCACCCACATCCCCGATGCCACAGGCACCGGGGCCCGAACCGGCGATCTTCCAATCACAGGCCCACCCCCTCCAACCTCTGTGCCACCACTCCCCAAAGACCATGTATTTCATAAAACACTAATAAAAACACTGTAATAGACACTATGTTTTGTCTAGCAGAGCACAAATGAAAAATATAATCAAGAAGAAATCACTTCTTGATTATCTGCTTCAATGCCTCTTTCCTGTGGGGTCCCACAGGGCTAGATTCTTGGACCCCTTCTGTTCTCACTCCATTTGTTCCCACTGGGGTCTATCCTGAAGGACCATGGTCTTTCTGTCTTGGCTTTTCATAGAAAGTAAAAACAGCTGCATAACGTTTTTTCCAAAAAGCCACCATTTTCTTTCTTTTTGTTTACCATAAAAGAAGGAGAACATAGGAATTTTAAAAACTAACTTTGGTGTGTCGGCCTCCAGTTGACTGAGGTCCTCCTCAGTTAAAACCATACTGGACTCCAGGAGTTTAGAAGGGGAGACGGATCTGTAGAAGTTAGCAAACGTCTCCTCATCATCCGGCTTCATCACTTCCTTTTCCAACTCGGCCGTCACCTCGATTGTAGAGGTCTTGTTGTTGCACATGCCTGATTCCAATCCACCAAACGCACACCAGCACAGCACAAGCACATAATAAAAAAAAAACCAGACGGGATGTAAAAGGAAATGTTAGACAGATGCCTTTAATGCCAGTCAAGGTAAAGGCAAACTTTACAGGAAATCCTATGAGTTCACAGAAGGGTTATCAAATGTTTGAATGTTCAGAACAAATGGATCGTACCTTTACTGTGAAGTTTGTCTAAGAAGGACTCCAGCTTGTCGAGACGTTTATCTCCTTCCACTTTGACGTCACTTCTGCTGGAGATTCCTGCCGGCAGAAAAGTAGATTTACTCAGTGATGACTTAGTACTGTAAATAAATTCTACAGCTCTTGAGTGAACATAGTTTAGTTTGACATTAGTTTACGAGTGGGAGAAATTACCCTCATGAGGTTTCACAGGTGTGGCGTTAGACTTCTTCAAACAGGCAATAGGCGACTCTTCCTTCGCTGTAGTTGAGACGAGACCTGATAAGAGCACAAAGGAGAGCTTTATCCATCCTGCTTCTACAATGGTAGTGCTCGAGCGGCAACTCTTTTCTTTTAAAAGTCCAGTGAGCTTGGTTTATACATCGTTAAAACTTCACATTATTTAAAATGTGTAATAAGGCAAAGAGTTAAACCTGCCTCTCTTGGCCATTCGTCCAGCCACGGTGAACTGGACCGAGTCGTTGGCTGCTCCTTTGCCTTTACTCTTCCACTGCTCCTCCTTATCCTGCAGGCTCTTCATCCTCTCCAACAGCTTCTTCTTTGGACTCGGATCGATGTTGGACTTCTGTTGGATTTAGACACAATGAAGTCACATTATGTCTCCATCACAGAGTTGGTTACCTGCGAGCAAACCGTACGCTCACGTGCAGTGTTTGTTTCATATTTCTCTCACACACCAGCAGACACAAGACGTGCCACTGCTGAGTCATCATTCAAACTATTGTTTTCCTTATTATCATTTATTTTGTGTTTTTTGCAATCACACCGCTTTTGCAAACTTTCAACCATCCATGTATCAAATTGCTCTGTCCAGTCAGGAAGAGTGTTCTCCGACTTTTAATTTTACTTAACTAAATTTACTTTAGTACTCAACTTGACTTAAAGATCACTTCAGTTTTTGTAAACATTCCATTATAAATCTGCTTCATCATACTCGTTTCATGTTTGCTTCTTATGCCATGTTTGGCTATTAGCTACATTACTATCGGTACCTCTTTTAGTTTTGCCAATTTTAGCTACGGTTTTGCTACTTTTAGCAATTGCTCAGCTAATTTAACCACCATTTTGCCAACTTAAGTTAGTGATTTTGTAATTTAGGATTTATCATCTGTGTTGCCAATTTCAACATAGGCCTTACTCATCTTTGTTACTAATTTGCTAGCTTAGCTACTGCTTTTTAATTTAGCTTTAGCATTTGTTTAGCTTATTCCGTTTCACTACTTTGGAGTACCGAATTGTTAATTTTTTTTAAAAATTAGCATCTGTTTTGCTTATTTTAGCTGCCGTTTTGCGGTTTTTATCTTGTGGCTAGTGTTGGGATCATTTTAGCTTCTGCCATGCTTGTTCTAGCTTTAACAGCTCAGTTTCAGCGTCTTCAGCAAAGTCTCAGCATTTACACGTCATTTTGGCAGAAAATGCAATTTCTCCATTTAAGCAAGCTATTTTTAACTGTCAATCAATAAAAAATAAAAAATAATAAAAAAACATACTACATCCTGACAACAAAACTGCAAAATTACTCAAGTGTTGTTCTGTTGTTTAGGCACATGAAGCGGTTCTTTACTGGACTGTCATCATTGTGTAACAAAACCATTTATTCCCATCAGAGTGACGCAACACAACTACATGAAATTAAACCAGAAGACAAACAATGTTGGAGAATCCTTCAACCAAACAGCAGAGAGGGAGGAGTTTTCTTTGTGGCCGACTGATGATCTGTGAGATCTGACTGTCGTCATCTTCACGCTCTGCAGAATCAATTTAAACATTAACAGATGTCAGCAGCTTTAAGGAGAAAAACATGTTTGGTTGAAATGAGCCGCAGTGTGGCATGAGAAACTAAATATGGCCATTCTATAATAATATTTTAGACTAAATTGAAATGGTCTTATTGTCATGGCTCTTACTAAAATATCTAATATTGATCAACAAAAGTAACATTTTGGTCATAGTTGCTTTTAGAACTGAAATTAAGGAAGATCATTTGTTAGCAACCCAATAATTTAATTCCTTTCAAATATAACTAGAGAAATTGCAATTAATGTGATAATGCAGCGTGAATGCTTATTAATGAAGAACTTGCTGAAAAACAGCTGAAACCAGCTAAAAAATATGCTGAAATGTAGCTGAAATGGAACAAGCCTAAGTTAGCAGAAGAAAGCAGAAATAACACATTTGCTGAATTAGGTTTAAGCAAGCAGAAATGAGCACAAAAAATAGAAAATGGGCAAAAAAAAGAAGAAGCTGAATTTAGCAAAAATAGCTGAAAAGGCTAAAAGAAGCTTAAACTACAAGAAAGAAGTGGAAGGAGCTGAAATGAGCTAAACAATGTGGAATTGGCTGAAAAATCTAAATTTAGCACAAAAACAGCTTATTGTAGCTGAAATAGCAGGAAAAGCTGAAACTAGCAGAAAAAAGCTGAAAGCATAAGCTGAAATTACCATAAAGACATTAATTAGACTGAAAGTAGCAGAAATTACCACAAAAAAAACTTGAGTTCATCTGAAAACAGCTGAAATTAGCTATAAAATGCTAAAAATAAGTAGCTGAAAATGTTGAACAAGCTTAAATAAGCAGAAGAAAGCAGAAACAACATGTTTGCCCAGTTAGGCTGAAAAAAGCAGAAATGAGCACAAATAGGTGGAAATAATCTGAAAAAAGCTGAAATGAGCAAAAAACTGCTGAAAAGTAGCTAAAAAAAAGTAGAATAGCTTAAATTACCAGGAGTGGAGAGTGCACATTTTTGCCGATTAGGCTGAAAAAAGTTTAAATGAGTAAAAATATGGAATTAGCCAAAAAAAGCGAAAATTAGCATAAAAACAGCTAAATAGCTTAAATAGCAGAAAAAAGTGCAAACTTGCATAAATAAACTGAAAAGAGCATAAGCTGAAATTAGTCGAAACATGTTAGAAGATAAAAAAATACTGTAGTTAGCAGAAAGAATCTATAAGGAGCACAAAACAGCTACTACGCCCCCCCCCCCCCCCGAAATTAGCTGAAAGTATCTGCAACAAGTTTAAATTTGCACAAGGGAGCTGCAAGAATCTGAAGCAGAACAAAATGTGAAAGGAGCAGTAAAAGGTTGCAAACGGATCTAAAGAGTTGAAGGATGAAAAATGAGCTCAAATCATTTTCTGAGGAAAAAATGGCAGAAAAGGCTCAATATTTAAAAAAGCTAAAGCTGCACCAATACCAAAAGTCATTGCACCCTTCTCCCGAAAGAGCTGAAAGTTTTGATAAATGATTTGTTGAAATAGCACAAGAAAGATGCTGACAAACGTATGGAAGAAAAATGGATCACAATAGTGTGAATGCTTCATAAACATTCATACAATTATTTATATGATATGTGATGTAAATCACACAACAATCTTCATACCCACCTTCTCCACCCGTCTCACTTTATGCAAACATTTTTTTTTCTGTTTTCAATGTGTAGCATGTTCTGTTTTTGGTCAAATAGAAAAAAAAAAAAGTTGAAAGAATCCCATTTAATCGTGTTGGCTTGCTCACAGAGACAGCTACTCAGACCTCAAGTGTTTTGTAATGTTGTCTCTCCCCTACAAACGCACTCCCTCCAGAGCCGATGGAAAACAGAGCTGTCGTGTCGTGCACTGTGTCTCCCATCAGGAGCAACATGGGGTTTAGCCTTTCACTCAAAAGCACTTTAACATCATGGATAGATCAAATGTACCAACTGAGCCTTCCAAAAACCACTACAACTGATCATTAAACTGTCTCGCTGTTTGTTTGACATCATTTTGTGACCAAAAACGAAGAGACGTTGAGGGTGACGGGGGTGAGAAAAGGCCCTTTCAGACATCTGCTGCTTTTTACTGAACAGATGGAAGCAAAACATCTGCATCTAAGTGAGCACCATTTGTAACCTTTTGCTATCCCACTACGTCAATCAACTAACGTATAATTTATTGCTTTCAACAAAGCACACGTCTGCACTGCTGCAGTCACAGACAGTAAGGGAACAGAAGTTACTTGAGGGGTGATTGGGCCTCCGACTGTTTTAATACCAAGATCTCATGTAGTGCTGTCCTGTGTTGACGAAGACTTTTCAATGACTGGCACCAATGCGGCGTTTTACAAATTTGAGCAGCTGTTTGCAAATTTTTGGAACCAACTCAATATTTTTGCCCCATAAATAAAACACTCTGTCCTCACTCCAACTACCTCCATGTCCTCTCTAACTGCACCCATATCTCTCCTTTTTGGCTTTTTCCTGGCAGCTGCATTTTTAACATCCTTCTACCAGTATACCCAGTGTCCCTCCTCTGGATATGTCCAAACCATCTCAGTCTGGTCTCTCTAACTCTATCTCCCAGTTCAACCTGTGCTGTACCTCTGCCGACCTCATTCCTAATCTTATCCATCTTTGTCACGCCTAAGGAGAACCCCGACATCTTCATTTCTGCCACTTCCAGTTCTTTCTCTAGTATCTTTATAACCTTTATGAATACATGTTCACACATTTGTGAAACAAACAAATTAATTAAACAGTGCCTGAAGAATTTTGGGTCAGTGAATAAAAGCAGAACAATTATAGAACAAGAAAACTGGAAATGTTTCAAGTCAAAGTAAATAAAAAAAAACGGAAACAGCTTCGTCTTAATATGCAGCCTGGTGCTTACATGTGAAATGCCAGGAGTAATGACATCATCGAGGCAGTGATATTTGAGCCTGTGGGTCTTTACCAAACGTTTACCCAGAATGGTAAATGGACTGTACTTGTATAGCACCATTTTATCTTATCGAGATACTCAAAGCGCTTTACACTACAAGCTATGCCCTCGTTAACTCATTCATACAGCACTCTACTATATCTATACAAGAATAATCAGAGCTTTATCACATTCATGATGGGACACACATCGGAGGCAATGAGGAGTTCAGTGTCTTGCCCAGGGACACTTCAGCAGGTGACTGCTGGTGGAATTGAATCCCCAACACTCCCATTGCAGGACAACTGCTCTAACCACTCAGCCACAGCTGCCCAAAATAAATTAATAATAGTAAGGTGTGGGGCTGCAGGATGCAAGGGAAAGCATGCAAATCTGATTTGATCATTAGATACCGCAACGGCAAGATCAGTTGCAACAAATACAAATTTTCTGTCATAATGTTCACAACGCATTAAAGTTCACCAGCTGTGGATATTTAGAGGAGAGGGGTGGGGTTGGTCCATCTGATAGCCAAATTTGTATTTTTTGCATATAATTTGTATCTGTTAAAAATCCTTTGCAACAACAACACACTGTTAGTGCAATGGTGAAACAAATTATTATTTCATGCAGCCCTAGTGAGGTGTAAAGTTAGAATAATACCAATTTTCTTTAGGGGTTATCATTGTTGTGCTGGGAAATAAAACCTACTGTAAATAGTGGGAAACACATTGACACCAGAGCATACTGTAGTTTTAAGTATGATGGAACTGTGCTGCCCACAAATGTGCCTGCATTTTACCAGATACATTATACTCAAGCCATTATAAAGAATAAAAAAAATAAATCTGTGTTGGCTAATCAATCAGTCGGTCCAGTCCTGCTTGAATGT